CAATGATAATTGCTTGGATTACAGTAGTTACAACTATACAGTCCCTTATTGATCTTCTGTCAAAAAGTATCTTTCACCAACAGTCTTCATGAGGAATATATAGGCTGCTATTCTTCAGTTAGGGTTTCCACGAAAATAGCTAGGGTTAATTAGGGTTAACCTCAAGACTTGGTCATAGGACTTTAACAACCAGATTAGGGTTAAGCAAAGTTACCCTAAGTCCACGTGAGAATCTGATATGGACTGAATAAACCAGATTCCTGAAAAATCTCAGAATTAACAAATCTGCAATAATGTTAGTTCAGTACAGGATGTCTTAACATTGGTTATGACAACAAGAATCCTGTTTATTGATTTTGGTAGAATGCAATAAATATGATCATTGCATAATGATCAGTTAAACACTCATATTGAGCAGCTCCTGAAGACATTCTTTTTCTGCAGAATGTACCTTGTATCCCAGAATGTTATGACATCAGTCATGACATTCACACAACTGGTTTTACCAAAAAACATGCCAACAACCAAACACTTACAGCTTGCTTTGGAAAGAAATGATAATTCAAGGCTTGGATTTGTTTAAGAGAGAACTTTGAGAATCCAGGATGATTTTCCTGAAGAACGAGAAGGTAAATTTTGGGGTACAACATACGCTGACGGGTGCAAGACGCGGGAGAAAGCCTTAATCCCTCACTAAGGCACACTAACGGGCTGAAATCACAGGAAGAGCCCAGAAGTCCCCTGAGATACTCTAACGGGCACGAGTCCACGGAAAAACTCAAACCCTAACGAATCACCTATAATATAGTGCCAGGCCCCCGAGGGAGCCCCGCGGCGGCTTCAACAGCCATGCACCGGGAGAGCGACGTCCACTGCCTAGGGTCTCTAACGATCTCCTCCCCAACAGAACCCTAAATCCTAACTGCATGCATATCTAAGAGGCAAAAAAGAGAAAGCACTAGAACATGCAATAATAAAGGAATGAAAATTCACCAATAAAAGAAGAAGAGACGAAGCTGGATGACCGTGAACGAAGAAAGCTGATAAATGCTGGTGGTCGAGTGTCAAGCTGATACGAATAGTTGAAGGAGAAGGCAAAAAATACTAATCGCCCTGTTCCTCTCGTATTTATAGCTGAAACAGCCCGCACGTATCAAACATGCACCCTAAGAACCCTAGGGTCGTCATTATGACACCCTAACCCTAGGCCATCATTCACGCCGCTCGACCGGAATGTTTCCCGAAACACGCTACCTCTCCAAATTCAAAAGTCCCAACGATAGACGTTTCGCCTCCCCGACAGAGAAGTATAACGAGCAAACTTCCATTGCCCCGTCCCTCAAGCAGACTTCAAAGTCATCACTCTTGCGCCCAAAAGCAACGACTTGAGGGGCTATTATTCTGGACTGGCCTGACAGCTTGATTGGGCCCAGTCTAAGAAATCTCATGAGTGCCAACCGCTGGCCGTTGCCCAGGCCGCTCGCACGTGTCGGGAAATGCCTCCCCTCTTTCCCTTCTGGCCCAACACCAACCCAAGATGCCCTTCGAGCATCTCCTTAGCCTTCTCGACACCAACGTCATGCGGGCCTCCAAGAACCGACTAGGGGGATGCCTGTAACCAGCCCTTTCCCAGGACCAACGACTAGGTACGTGCACATCTTCCCGGTTTGACCAAGCCCTGGCAGTTACCTGATTTTCCAGACCCATATATCTAGGCAGGAAATTAGGAACCAATGTCCATACATCAAGGGCATTATATAAACCCTCACACCTGTGAGGGCCAGGTATCACATATTCACTACTCACTACCTGATATTTTGCTAGTACCTCCTTGCTCCCACTCTTACTTGATCGTTGGAGTACCTTGTAGGTACAACCCCCTCTCTCATCTGCTCGACTGAAGATCATTATCTGGTCACTCTCCAGGTTCTGATCAACCGCAAGATCAACAACATTATCACAACAACATCATCAACAAATAGTCATGTTCAACACCATATCAACCTTACAACAACATCACCAACATCTTAACAACAATATCATAATAGTATCAACATAGCAACATCATTACCACACAACATTATCACAACAATACAATGATTCATTTAACCAAACATATAAAACAATAACTTCATCAACATAGTAAGCATATAAATAATATTTAAACATTTAATCTATCACTGCTATGTTATAGATCTGAGTGTTAACTTCCTATCACTTCAAACGGGGCATCATTTAGACTTACAGATCAAAATTTATGACCGAATTCGTCGGAGAATACTACTTAGGCCAAAACAACAATTTCTCAAAATTTGACTTAGTGCAACCAATTGCACTATAATGACAATCGATTGTCATCGTGTGAATTTCGCAGTTTTTCTCAAAAATAATGTTTCTAGGCCATTTAATCGATTACTTCAACCATGCAATCAATTACTTCAACCTTGCAATCGATTAACGCTTATTTTTTTCAGTCTTTACACGCATGCAATCAATTGCACTGAGATTGCAATCGATTGCACTGGGCAATTTTTCCAAAAAATTTATGTTTCGTTGTTACGCAACCTGTTTCACTTTAAACCCTCTTCATACTAAACCAATCCCAAATTCAACAATTTAAATTACACCGATTCAACTTCTAATCATACTAACACACTAATCAATTCATAATGAACATAAATTCACCAAATTTTTTATGAATCGATCACCTAAAATCAGACCCTAAAACACCCAACTCACATCCATTTCAACATGATTCGAGAATAGAACAACAACAACATATCAATATACACCTTTAGATTTCATATCATGGCATATATAAACAATATCAATCATCACTTACTCACAAATTCCCTACCTTGCTCTTACCTATTACCACAATCACCATAGTGCCCCTACTTCCTCATAATTCATTTTATTTTACTATTAAATCTAGTAATTTAATATTCAATCAATATTATTATTTCAATTAAATAAATCTACCAAAATTACTATTATTTAATTATTTAAAATTCTTAATAAGTTCTAAATATTCTAAATCAACTCTACCTCTCTCTCTACACTCCACCTCGAGCATACATTCCCCACAACTACACAACAATGAATTAAATCATATAAATTCATAATAATTCAATTAAAAATCACGGATAAATCAATTAAAATAAATTAATCAAAAATGAGGTGTTACAAAGTGTGTTCGAAGATACATTTTCAGAATCAAATGAATATTTTTCAAATTTTCATAGGATATTTTCCCACCATTTAAGGTGAGATCATGATTCCAAGAAAAATTGAAAGTTGCCGGGACAATTTCTATTGTTTATTTGGGCTAATATTGGACCAGCCCAGCCCATTTAAGAAACAGTTTAAGAAATCCGGCGGTTCCAATCTCACAATCAATACAAAAGATAAGAAAAACAGTGCAACAAATCAATTTCTTATTTGCAGAATGGCTTCTGCTCTAAACTCACCCGTTTTATCCCTCTGTAAACCCCCCAAATTCATCAACCCTTCAACGCGCTTTTCGCAACGTGATTATCAATTAAGCAGCTTCAGAACAAGCATTGAATCAAAAAGCCACACAAAGAGAGCAGTAATCATATCCGTGTTGCCACTGGGCGTTGATCCATGGGCTCCTTCCATTGATTCACAGAGTATCGCTTCACAGCTATTCGCGTTTTCTTTGTTCCCTTACATTGGTTTCTTATACTTCATTACCAAATCCAAAACTTCCCCTAACCTCACCCTATTCGGTTTCTACTTTTTGCTTGCGTTTGTTGGCGCCACAAGTTAGTTTTTCTTCTAATGCTTTAAATCGCTTAATAGTTGAGTACTTTTTTTCTGCTTTTAAATTAATACTAACTTTGCTTATTTGATTTGTTTTGAACATTGTTTTTGTTGAACAATTTGAGCAGTTCCAGCTGGAATTTATGGTGAGTCAAGTTCATTTGCTGGATATATGCATGCCAGTTGTTTTAAAAATCGAACCAGAAAATGTTCAAATAACGGAAACTTTGACACTAGATAGTCCTGATTCATGATTCATAATTTATGATACAACGGGTTTAATTGTCTGGTTCGGTGTTTAAAACGTTGGGTTTCGTAGGAGCTAAATTTGATATGATTATGTTAGTTATGTTTAGTTTTGGGGTTTGACAGCTAAGGTGCATTATGGAACTTCTTTGTCCAATGTTGATTGGTTACATGGTGGAGCTGAGTCTCTTCTCACTCTCACTAACTTGTTCATCGTGTTGGGTTTGAGAGAGGGCATTAGAAATGCTGGAAATTCGGAGGAAAACACGCCCACTCCTGACTCAGGGTTGAAGGAGGAGAAGTAAGCTAAGATGAAGGTCTGGTATTTGGAATCATTATTCTTATAATTGCTGGTGTTATAACAATTTATTCATTGACTCAGATGTCCCTGGCTGTGGTTTTGTTTATGATGTTGTCTTAAAAAATCTCAGACATACCATTCTCGGGGTATTTTGTATATAAATTCTGTATTTTTGTATGATTTATCATTAATTGAAATGAAATGTCGAATTTTGATGTGCAATTTTCAGTCAGTTCTCTTTTATGCTATATGAATGAGTTAAGTGATTTAGCTCACTTTAGTTAATATCTCTCATTATTTTGTTATGACTGTGATGCTCTTGTGCTAAAGATGTGAGATATATAGATTGTACCAATGTAAATTCGGAGTAACTACTTATTTGAAAATAAAAACCACTAGAATGTACTGAAATTGTAATTCAAATATTAACTATAAGGATACTCATAAACTCCTAGCTAGCGTTGCCGAATCTTTATTCTACAATTCCTCTTTTTTCTGAAGTTGTCCTATTTTAGGATGACTTTATACTCATAATATTCAAACATAATTTACACTAGGACAATATGATGTTTTGTAATGCTCTTACATTCCAAACATAAGTTGTCTTGGTGAAAAACACTTCTGGTTGATGTTGTTTGTACTCATGGTATTCCATTCTCGTGTACAATTATGAGAAAAATCCCGGAGTATTGAATGGGAAGTTTGGATCAATTTCCACTGGATCAAGTGGAAAATTAAAATTGGGAATTGGAGAATTTGTGACTGACGTGTTGGTGGAAATGATATCCGGAATATCGGATTCTGAAAGAGGCATGCTATAGAACCCATCAAAATCGTTCATGTTGAAAGTTGGAGATGAGAAATAGTTTGATTCTGGTGTTGTTGGAGATAACAAGTGTGTTTGGAACAGGCTGCTCAAGAATGAATCGTTCTCTAAAGTTGAGGGAACCCAGCTTTGGTTTTCTTGCGCTGTGTATCCAAATGAAGTGGAAGGGAAGGTGAAAGGACGTGCCATTTCTTGGTTTCCAAGGTTCTCCGTTTGCACATTCAAGGTGTTGCTGAAGTTTGAAAAGCGCTCTTGTGATTGTCGTGCCTGGTGAATATCATTATTTTGATTGTGTGGCTTGTATGGCACAATGGCATTGTTAGTCGCTTGTGGCTTGTATGGCACAATGGCATTGTTAATCTCTTGTGGCTTGTATGGCACAATGGCATTGTTTCCCTGAGAACATGTATGTTTTCCTCTGTAAGTTATGTCAAATATTGTCGGATCTTCATCTGATCTCTGCACTTGCTTCGTCGCCCAACAGTTCTGTGTGTTGCGGAAGGTGCACCGATAGTAGCTTCTGCAAATGTCATAATGAGTTGTCAATGAAATGCCGACACAGGTAATATATATTTAAGAGTTTTTGTGATTCTTTTCTTTAGCATAGAAATGCGAATTCTTCTCACCTTGGATGTTTAGCACTAAGGATATCTTTTTGACCATATTTTCTCCAGTTGAAGCCGTCTTCGTGCGGTCCTTCAAGGCCACTTTCACAGCTCACTCTTATCTGATCAATGCATTTGGGCCCAACCTTTCTGAAACCAATTTGAAAATAAAAATTGTTAGAAAATATAGTTGGTTTCTTTGGTATAAAACTGATACCAAGTGTGTCTAATAAATTCACCTTTTCTTTGATTTGTTTTTAACGTCTTTGCGATCTTGAAAGGTCGCATCAAAGTCCTCGCTCAGCGGACTCCCATTGGTAGACACCGGAGACTGAGGTAACGAAGTTATGACTGGACTCACAGTCTGTGACTTAGAAGTTGATTCATTACTTCTTAGAATTCGCAGAGCCTTTTCGTAAGAAGATAGTATCATCTGCATCTGCAACTCCCTCGTGTCAATGGAATACGGTGTTCTCAACTCTTCCTTCAATCTCTTCGCGACATCCATCCCTTGAATTAGTTCATTGATGAGTGTGTTTTGCTCCCAGTTACATTCATTCTCCATTTTGTATGGTTTATATCACTTCTACTCTGAAGTTCAGTTTCTTCCTCGAACCGAAAGTTTCTTACTCAGAATCAGAGTTGGAAATTGATGAAATTTAGGAATTTGTTTGAATGGTGAAGCATAGTAGTAATGAACTATTGAAATTTGAAATGGTGTTTGATTTTGCTCTGCAGAATGATAGAAATGGAATTGTTGTATTTAAAGGGGGCACCCATTGTAGAGTTGAAGTCAAAGTTTGACCGAGAAACCGAGTTTTTCAGCTAAAAGACTAAAATGTGGTCAGTGATCAGTGAACAATAGAATACTGACCAAGTCCACTTCAGTTTGAGAGGTTATTATTGGTTAATGATAGGGCCATGTTCTTACAAGTCATGATTTTATTAAAGATTATTAAGATAATATTTCTACACAAAAAAAGGGTCTATAGAGAGAAAATTCAAATTTCATTTACGCGTGGACAATTTAGTCCTTTCTATGATTACTACCTACATATACAGGACTGCTTACGTGGCCTATGGTTGTTGCCATAACCTATTTTCTCGGTTTAGCATATGTCTCACATGACTCACTTCATCACTGAAATCCACATAAAATTTAAAGAGGATACATTAATGTACTGGAGTACTAGTACTCTATACTCTAAAATACTTGGAGGAAAAACTATACACTGTTTGTCCATTCTATCCTTTTATTCATAAGCCAAATATATATCAAATGAAAATGAAAATGAAATACAACATGCTGGGGTACATAAACTAACCCAGGCAAATTACGAAATCGACTCAAAAGGATATAAAAATAGAACAAATATAATAAAAGTGATTTAAATTCATTTAATTAAATTATTAATTTAATTTTAATTAGATAAACTAAAAAATTATCAAATATATTTATTTTAAAATATCATTTTTTTCAATAAACAAGTATTGAAAAAAAAAACACAAATAACCACGTTTCGGAGAAAATTACGCAAATAACTATGTTTTAGAAAACGTTAATATGCAGTAGTCAAGTGAGATGATGCATGCATTGACTTTTTTAAAGGTGACGTCAAATGAGATGACGCCTAGGTGCATGTGATTTGTCCTAAGCCGTCTCAGATGGTGCCTAGGTGTAAAATGCTTTTTTTTTAATTTTTAAAAAAAAAATAAAAGACAATTTCGTTTCAATAATAATTAAACGATTACATAATGGTAGTAAAAATTACATATTATTTAGTTGTCTCTCGGGACTCGATAACGACTCGTGGTTCTGAATCCGCGTCCTCGTCTAACTTGTGGTGCGTTTCGATGATTTTCCTGTTGCGGTTGGATAGAGGGCCTTGCAAAGTCAATGCGTTAAGGATCCATGAAATCCGTCAGATTAGCATATCCGAAAGATCTGCTTTCAAACAATCGGTTATCCATGCCCTCAAAGTTTGGTCGTATTGGTGAATGGTGGGGTTCCATGGGTGGTCGATAGCACTGATCGTATGAATAAGGGAGGTAAAAAGGAAATAAATCTTGTGGAGTTTGGTACTGTGTTTGTTGGGTGCTATGGTGATGTGATGACTGATCGTATGTTGGATTGGTTGGGGAATATTCTTCAGGTATGCCATGGTCTGGGCTAAGGTGACATGATGAGGGGCCCACATCAGGTTGACAGATGTATGGTTGGGGTTCTTGGTACTGTGATTGGGTGTTAGGCATATGAGTGTATTGGTATTGAGGTTGTGATTGAGGTTGTGTGTTTGTGGATCTGTATCGTCGTGGTGTTTGGTAGAGGTTGATGTGTGTTGGGTTTGTTGTTGGGATTGTTGTTGGGTGGTGTATGATTGTTGGTAGTGTTGTTGGGGATTTGAGGGTTGTGCCTATTGTGTGCGTGGGTCGATCAAATACCTCAGGTGAGACACAAACATTTTATGGTTAGTAATCGATATATACCAATTAATATATTAATTTGTGTATCACATATTATGTTGGGTGAGGAAAACAGGGAATTGTGTGACATATGAGTCACGCCTATGCCACATCTTACACCATTCAGGAGCAAAATCTTTCCAATTATTAACACCCCATTGGGTCGTCGACCCTTTTGAGATGCCAAGGTGACAAACAAGTTGGATTGCGTGGTATTTTTTGATGCATTCCGAACTGCCTTGACATAGTCGCTTTGGTGCTTGTCCACAATATTGAACCGTATGATTGCAGTCTTTGCAGTCCAAACTGCTGCATCTTCGGGGTTGAGTTCATGTCCAAACCCAAATATAATCTCTAGATAAATTATGGATAAAATTAAATCATAATAATGATAACTTTAAAATAAATAAGTTAAAAGAAGAAAAGTTTAGAGGTACTACGTACATCATCCGGGCCAAGGTGATCCAAAAGATTACGATATAGAGTCGTATTTTGTCTTGAATTCCTGTTGTAATCCATACCCCTTACACAATACCTAAAGGAATGGAAAAAAATTAATTATGTACATCTATTTAGCGAAGAGAGAAATAATAAATTATTTATGCTATAGACTTACTTTGTTGCGTAGGGGAACATGAACGAATGGTCGTTGACGGGGTTAAGAGACTCGATTCTCCAACAATCCCATGCTTGGAGCAAGAAAGCACATACATTAAAAGTATATTTATCGTTTGTTGCATTTTTACATCATGAGCTGTATAGATAGGCTAAAACGGCGGAACCCTAACTATATATTTTTATTTTATCAAAGTCCCTAAGCAAACTTAAATCCATGAGTATTCTGTGTATGACTCGATTAAGTTGTACATTGTGCTCCAAGAGCCTCAGTTGTCACAACAATTTGAGTCATAAGTGGTTGATCCCATCGAAGACGAACAACTTGAAGTAGATGTCATTAATGAAGAAGAGGAAGATGAAGAGTTAAAGTTTGATAACATGGTCAACAATGATTCCGAAGACGATGGGTTAACTGAAATACCTCCAAATGAAATCTACACACCACCTCCGCACATGAAAAACTTTAACATGGGCAGAGATGAACCATCATCAGATGTTTTCTTCAACCCGTATATGCAGTCAGATGAAAATTTAAAAGAGAAAGACAAATTGCATTCAAAAGAAGATTGTGTGCGAGCTATAAAAAAGTTTCACATGATAAACTCTGTCAATTTTAAGGTAGATTGAGTAAATGCAGATAGGTACAAAAATCAAGTGTGTTCACCCAGGGTGTATGTTTAGGATCACCGCATCATACAGGTTGAGAAGTGATTGTTGGGTGATAGGTTCTATGTCCACCCACACTTGCGTTAATTCTACTCAATCACAAGATCATCGTAAACTAAGTTATGATCTAATATGTCAAGAAATCTTACCTCTCGTCAGTAATGATTCGTCATTGAAGGTGAAAACATAATCTCTCACATCACTATAGTATACAACTATACTCCCTCATACAGGATGTCATGGTTAGCAAAGACTAAGGCTAGTGAAAAGGTATACGGAAACAGGGAGGATTCATACAAAGAACTGATGTGCCACCTACATGCACTTCGAACATATGCTCTTGGAATTGTTTATATTATGGAGACGTTGCCAGCGTATGGCCCAGACGATATTTGTGTAAACAGAAATGGAATATTTCGTCGAGTGTTCTAGGTTTTTCAACCTTGCATCACAGGGTTTGCATTCTGCAAACCTATTATTCAGATAGATGGAACATGTTTGTACGAGAAATACAAAGGCACGCTACTGATGGCAGTTGCACAAGATGACAACAATAACATTTTCCCAATTGCCTTTGCTCTAGTCGAGGGAGAGACTGGTGGTGCCTGAAGTTTCTTTCTCAAGAATCTTCAAACACACGTGGATTTACAACCTGGACTCTGCTTGATCTCTGAAAAACATGCTTCTATTGAGTGTGCATACAATAATCCTGCTAATGGTTGGCACGACCCCCCTTCTACGCATGTCTACCAGATTAGACATATCGTACAAAATTTCATGCGGGAGATCAAAGACAAGGCTTTTTGGAAAACAGTTATGAACGCGAGGTATGCATTAACACAACCTTCGTTCAAACACTATCACAACGAGATCAGATTCTCAAATCCAGACGCAAGTATGTGGGTTGATAATCTTTTAGTGGAGAAATGGATGAGGTCATACGACAATGGAAAACGGTGGAGCCACATGACAACAAATCTTATTGAATCAATAAACGGTGTCTTCAAAGGCATACGAAACCTCCTAGTAACCGCTTTGGTGAAATCAACATATTTTAGGATGACTTCGTTGTTTGCAAAAAGAGATGAAATGTGGAACACGATGTTACAATCGAGACAACTATGGAGTGAAAGTTGCATGAAATTATTAAGGCAGAAAGTTCTAAAGCCAACACTCATCATGTTACAAGATTCGATCGACATAACCATAACTTCATTGTCAAAGAGACACTCGACCACAACGAGGGGCTGTCAAGACAAGAGTATAGGGTTATACTACCATCTCGTTGGTGCGATTGTGGAAAGTTTCAAGTCTTTCATATGCCTTGCTCGCATGTCATTGCGACATGTACGTATGCTCATCAAGATGCATTACTACTTCTATCTCCCATTTACAAGGTCGAGACCTTGCTCAACGTATACAACAATGACTTTTCAATGGTAGCGAAATCAGATTATTAGCCTGCGTACGAAGGGAAAATAGTTTGGCACAACGATCAAATGCGAAAGAATAAAAAGGGTCATCCCAAAAGCAAGCGTATCACAACTGAAATGGACTCTCTTGACAAGCTAGAAAGAAAGTGTGATTTATGCCGTCAGGTCGGACACAATCGGAAATTTGTTCCCACTCGTGCTACTAGCTCGACAACATAAATATTATATGCACACTATCTGCATTTTTTTTAAGATCTAAACGGTACTTTTTTTTCCATTAAGAACATTTGTTACAACAAACCATACGCAAACAACAAATAAAAAGACATCACGAATAAAACAATAACAAATACGCCACATAAATATAACATCAACAACACGACAA